AAAAAATGTTTTATATTTGTTTTATAATATAGCGCAAAGAAACATAAAGAAAGAAAGTTTTTCCGACGTTTCCGTGTTGACATTGTGTTATATCAACACGGCTCTTAGCCAATCAGCATTCAGAATTTACAAATGCTATATTATAAAACGTTATATATAATAAAAGCATAGCCAAGTAAACAAGTATGCCGCTGTCAAAACAACAGACAGCATTTAACAGGCTTACTTTCATATACTAAATAAAATAATTCACTCAACAACATGCTTGCAAACTGAAAGCACCGTTTAAAATAGTTAGTATATATAAACATTTAAACATGATTAAAAACGATTAAATACGATAATAAACAAGTATTAAAAACGTCGCGAAAACTATTTTTACTATAGACTAAGTAAAATTATAGGATATTGTAATTTTAATTTGTCTAGTAAAAATATATGAATATAAAACCTTGGTAAACAGTCAAACAGATACAGCGAATGCTGGATTTCCGCTTTCTAAGTTGTCTTTTTTTGTGACGGTTTTCCAGGGCCGTTCCTTAACGCGATAATTGGGGGGGGGGAGGGGGGTATTCATATATTCATGTTCACAAACCGTAAAAACAATCGCTTTCAAAAGAAATCCGGGCGATTTCAACTTAAATCTAATGAATTATAATAGCAACCAATTTACAAATGAATTTCTCGATATAATGTAACTCATGTAATTCTAACTCGTTCTTTTCTTTAATAACTCGACCTACAAGAATAACATCAAACACAGACACACTTATTGACAACATATTTTCCAACAACTTCGTAAATCACGCTTTTAGTGGTTTATTCTTCATAGACATCTCGGAACATTTCCTTATCTTTTCTGTTCTCGTGGAAGAAGTGGAATGTGTGAATATAAATTCGTGTTACTTTGCTCGTGATAAAAATAAAACAAATATTGATAAATTTCATGAGAATTTAAGAAATATTGTTTGGTCCGATATTCCTGGTTATAATGATCCTCAATATGCGTATAGTGTGTTTTTGGATAAATTTACAAATACTTACAACTCTTCCTTCCCATTAAAAAAAATTAAAATTTCAAAGCATAAATTAAGAAAACATTGGGTCTCAAAGGGACTTCCGAAGTCAATAAAGAGAAGGAACAAACTATATCGAAAATATATGAGCCAGCCATGCATTCCAAATGAAAATAATTATAAAACATCTAAGAATAAATTAAATCACTCGCTACGAATTGCCAAACTTAATGTATGTATTATGAAGCAGTTAGAGCGTGTTAAGTGATAAACACAAAGAATATCTGGAAAATTCTTAATGAGGTAATAAATAGGAAAAAAACTATAAAAAGGTCACCACCGACGTCTTTATTGTTAACAACCGCAATAATTCCAATCCATGATATTTGCTGTGTTGGTGTAGTGTACTCAGATGAATAAGATGTTTGTGATCTTACTCTGAGTGTGTATCCACACCGGGCAGGCTTGAAAAATATGAGCTAGTATTCCAAAGGTCGTAGATTCGATTCCCATCGTGGCCAGGCATATTTTTCAAGCCTGTCCGGTGTGGATACACACTCAGAGACTCGGAGTAACATCACAAACATTTCCAATCCAGTTGAAATTGCAGATCATTTTTGCGAATATTTTACTAATATTGGCCTTAACTTATCAAATAATATCGATAACTCATCCTGTTGTTATAAGTCATAACTTACGGGCAACATGGTGAATTCCGTATTCATATAGTATACGTATATTTAACCCAATAGACTCTTCATGGCCTTATATTTTATCCTGCGGGGGTATATATAAGGTCCGCTGTGATAACCCTAGAGGGGTAATGGTCCCTAGGGCTGCCCTGGGGGTAAGGGTACCCAGAGCACATGCCAGTAGAGTAGCGACCCCCATGACCTTATTAACCTAAATCAAGGGGTAAGGGTCCCTTGGACAGTTCCTATAACTCGACTGATTATATTTACATTAAATAAGTCTATGGGCATAAAGGTGACCTTTAGAAGCACTTTAACCTCACAAATACAATAAGGTGTATTTGACATGCACTGGAGTGTATTCCACATAGACGAACAATCCCACTCCTACAATAGCTGTATTCACATAGAGGACAGCTTTTGCCAGATGATAGTAAGCTTGCGCATGTTTGAGAATTACCATCGCTTATGCCGGATGGTCAGGGATACCATGAAAAACCTGCAATACAGGAAACCTGAATGGGGCCAAGACAATTAAGGTTACAGAACACCTTTGAGTGTTAATTTTGCCTAAAATGGTTTTATTGGTTTCAATGAAAGCATTAGACTAGTTCTACTATCTGACCAAGTTTGAACGAAAAATGTTGAAAACTCGCAGAGTTATTTAATAAAATACATTACGCTGCAATAAGAAAAACATTGAAAATGTAATATTCAAATTCGATTTTCTCACGAAAAATTTTACGGTAATTACTGATTTTCAAACGAGTTGTGCTCGTGCGGGTTTTAACCAATTTTTCTCAAATTTTCACAGGACATAGCTAAATACGTCAGTTTCAAAATCTTGTTCGGCTTTTTTTTAATTTTGGATATTTTAAAAATAAAGAGCAATTCACTCAAACAATTCAGAAATATATTGCAGTCGCCAAAGAAATCGCCATATCAGCGGAACGACGAAATAAACAAAAATTTCCGAACACAACTATTTTACTGTATAAAAATGATATTTTCATAAATATAACTTAAAATCAGCAGGAGCGCAACTCAAAAGCGTAAAGGTACTGCGATTTAAGATTTTCCTGAATAATTCTTACATTATTTTATTGTTTGTTAATTTACAACTTTACCATATTTTGCATACACTGGAGAACATTTGGTGAAAATTTTATGAAAATCGGACTGATATTGAGCGCGCAGTAGCGATTTTCCGCAAAACGCCAAATTGTCTTGTAACCTTAACCAGCATGCAGCTTGCCCACAAAGCTTCTACGTTACAACTTCTCAATAGATAACATATTTTTTTCTTCTTTTCTCATATTTTTTATTCATTTATTCTTTCACTTAGTTTAAGGTTTTTGAAGAGACCCGGTATTAGAAGTAATATATAAACAACGAGAGCGAGTGTTTCACCGGGATATCCAAACACGAGAAAACAATGTATGAAAACACGAGCTTCGCGCTCGTGTTTTCATACATTGTTTTCGAGTGTTTGGATATCCCGGTGAGACACTCGCTCGGGTTGTTTATATGGCTTCTCAAATGAATCGAGACGTAACAGAATGTTTTCGTTTGCTGATTTGAATAGAATTCTTAACCAAGCATAAAGCTGGAGTAATACGAGCAACAAAATTGCTGCAACTTGCAACAAAATCTGATTTCAACGCATGTTAAGTAGAAATGTTGACACATGTTGCCTCGTGATTTGTAATGCATGTGTAAACATTTTCAATTAACATGCGTTGAAATCAGATTTTGTTGCAAGTTGCAGCAATTTTGTTGCCCGTATTACTCTACCTTAACGTAATTAGGAATTGTGTTCAAGTAATTTTGCATGCGTAATTAAGATATTTGATGAAAACACTAGTGACTTTCATCAAGTATCCAAATGGCATCTTGTGATCAAATAGATGATTATCATTGGCTGAATTACTCATGAATTATTAATGAATTTGAGAATTGTTTATCTAAATTGTTCGCTTGGTGAAGCAATCAATTAAGCATAGAGGATTAGAGCATTTTTCAGTTGTGAGACACAAATCTTGGAACTGAGCCTCTCGCTGATTTTAAGATGTTAGATGCAATTGCAATCCACGTGCATGATTGTAACCATATAGTGTCAAACATGCGTGAGGGCAATGAAACGAAATTGTAATATTTCTTTTGTAAAGTTTGACGAGAACAATTGTTAAAAAACAACGTTATTTTTTATTGTGTTGGTGTTATGTACTCTGGTGCATGAATATGTTTGTGATGTTACTCTGAGTGTATATCCACACCGGGCAAGCTTGAAAAATATGCCTGCATGGCCACGGTGGGAATCGAACCTATGACCTTTGGAATATACTAGCCCAATGCTTTGCCAACTGAGCTACGCGACCAGCTCGGTTCGAGTCTGTGATATTTCGAAACTGAGTCTAGTTCCTTCGATAGCAATGCAATCTAGTAATCATGACTTTTTTCTGTATTGGTGTTATGTATTTTTTCCATATATTAACTTATGTTGGTAAAACTTTGTTACACTTCCCGAATGGGAAAGTGTATTAAAATAGGCTATCAATTTATCATTGTGTTTCCCTCCCAGATCGAAAGCGTTGCAATAATGATAAAATAAATAAATATACGCAGTGTTAGCCTACGTGTGGATTTTATACCGCGAATTTAATTATTAGAATATTTGTTTATTCTGTCTTCTCAACGTTTTTCTCACCATTTTGTTTCCCGGGAGCAATTTTTCATCGCAGCGTTTCTACTTATAAGAAAGAGTCTGTAAATTGGAACTTCCAAGTTCGCAATTTTGGACAGTCGATCAAAGCCACATACTATATTTCCAGATAAGTTGGGAAATAACTGGAAGTAAAATTTTTGTGTTGTAATTTTGTGTTGTATTAGCTTTGTTCATGATCAAGTTTGTAACCCTGTCTATTGTAAAGTTTATAATTAATTAAATAAATTAAGTTTATTCCATTGTAAAACAATTAAGACACCAAAATTTAGTGTAAATGCACGCGGTTCTGAGGGCTTGGAACGCAGGTAAATGGTATGCTGATCAGGCATGACTTTGTTAGTATAAGACTACCTCTGCGAAATGACGTTACCTTACTTCCTAAAGTTAAGAAACAAAAAATAAGGGGCATGCATGTTTTAATTGAATCATAATGCGTAAGGGTGTTGAAAGAACTGGGTGCACAAGAGGTTAAATTAAACCGATTGTATACGACTGTTTATGTCATTTTATCTTTCTTTCTAATAGAGTTTTGAGCTGCTCTCACAAAACACCACAAGCGAGGCGGACATGTTCTCTGCTCATCTTATTCACAATGTGGACATTGAGGTATTTATGGTTCTTGCTATATTTTGTAAACACGTTCCATCGTGCGTCACGTGTCTATGCATGTCATTTTTGCACATAACTAACCAGTTTTTAAATTTATTTGGAAACTGAACTATAGTGCATCCATGTTTTCATTCAAAGCTAAAATTAACTATAATTAAGACATTTTTAGTAAAAACTATACAGACTTTTTATATGCATGGTTGTTTCATTTGAGGGAGAATTAATACAGCTGACTAATTTTGGTTCAGAGCCGATTTTGGTTCAGAGCCGAAATGTGAATGGTGCTGCTAAGATTAAACGTTAAGAAGCCTACACAGGCATTCAAAAACAATATTGTTATGGGTAATATGCTCAATGTACGTGGGTGATAAAAATAATGACAATTCGGGTGATATATAATTGTAAGTATCTCAACTGAACATGCATCCTATGAATATAACAGTGGTTATATAGCAGCAGCTCGTTTTTGGTTTGATTTCTACTTGGGACGCTCAGAATTTAATGTTTGGGAAGTGACTTGAGTCCATTTGGACGCATGCATCAACTTACTATTAAATTTCGGCACTGTGGAGAAAAAATAGTATGTTTATAAATTCTATTAATCCTCCACTATTAATTAGGTTCTGAAGATAGGTCTTCGTAATTGGAAGGAAAAGGATCCCGAAGCAGTAGCGTGTCTCTTAAGTGGGAACCACAAAGAACATCAACCGTTCTTAGAAGCCGCTAGGAAAGGAAACATAGATTTGATGGAGTTTTTCTTACAAGAAGGAGCAAATTATTTGCAAAGAACGTAAGGATTGTTTGAATTTCGTTGTTTTCCGGCATCAGGTATTTAATACTTAAGATACTCTCGTGACAAGGAACCTCGACACAAAATTAAAGGTAGGAGTCACACTAAATCGCCCAATTGTGCAATTCACTCTACTAAAATATATTATACTTTGGATATATGTAGTCCAGAGGATCAAACCGCGATTCATTATGCCGTACTTTCTGGAAAGCTTGAGGCAGTGAAACACTTGCTGAATAAACAAGAGTTCCTGGAAATGATTGATTTTACAGACGAGTTAAACATCACCGCAGCTGGGTACGCAGCACAGATTGGTTTTGCGGAAATTCTCAGATGTCTGTTGGAGAATTATAACGCACAACTGAAAGGTGATAAGAAGACGGCGAGACTCAACATCTTGGATTCTGCATATGGTTTTTTCAAAACTGGCGAGAATTCTATCAAAGAAATTATAAAGTTTTGCACAAAGGACAAGAAAATTGATATACTTCGAGAGGTAAAATGTTGGAGAAACAAAGTTTTGTTTAAAAGATTTTGGTTTTTGCTAAGTGATTAAGTTCTATTCTTCTGAAAATTGTGAAGGAATTTTGCTCGTTACTTGCAAATACATGCATTGAGTCCCTTATTGGCGTCGTACGAAGTAGACATTAGAGACCTTACGATTTTAGGACGGCAAAGCGACGACGACGGCCAAAACAAACTCCTTCAAATACATGGTAGTAAAGATAATTCGTCATATATTATCAATCGTATGAATTCAGTCTTAGAAGTTGACGTTGAAGACATGGGTTTTATGTTTGGGAAGAACCCAGTTTGAAGTTGCACTTGTTGCGGCTTGAAATGCAGCCGTTGTATCAAGACGTGAAAATCAGATACAAATCTGTATATCAGATACAGATCGGATACGAATGTTTTATCGTACTTAAAAACGACCCATCGTATGAGTTCATTGGCGAAGTAATTTTAAAAATAAACATTGTATAAGCCGAGAAAATCAAAGCTGAAATTTATGTAAATCAGAACAAATCTTTATCCGATTTACAAACATTGATTAAACATTCATTTCTTTTGTATTTTCCTCGTGAATTATTAATGAATTTTTTAATCGTACTTAATTTAAAAAACGACCCATCTTATGAGTTCAATTTTAAAAATAAATATTGTCTACACCGAGAAAATCAAAGCTGATGTTTAATTATGTAAATCAGGACAAATCTTTATCCGATTAAACATTCATTCATTTTGTATTTTCCTCGTGAATTATTAATGCATGAATTTTTAAAATAAATATAACTATCAAGTCAATGTCAGAGATTGCCACAGGATAATGTCCATGTGCTCGGTGTGTCGATATCGAAATGGGTATTAAATAAGATTAGGTAGTTTGATTGATCAGGTGTTTGAAGGAGTGGATACTTGAAAAACTCTGAACGGGAGCTGTTTTACAATTAATGTTCCAGATTTTTACAAAGCGGTTGTAAAAGGAGGCATGATAAGTAGAGGTGTTGCATCGTGATGTTTTCAGAACTAACGGAATCTGACAGTATGCCTGGTGCGACCTTGACCATTAAATGAGACATACTCATTAACATTCACTTAGATGTACCCGAAGCATGTGCATGTACAGTATACCAGGTATCCCAAAAAACAATACCCTGTTTGATTTCATGTAACTTAAAACCTATATAT